ATACATATAYATGTATGTACACTCCGCTCATGCAGTATGATAAGCAAATATGAAAGACAACTTTTCGCTTGCAGCAGCATAGCCCATCATTTGTTGGCTCGCTTCCTTGGCAAATGTTATCCTTAGCGACAAGAAGCTGAAAATTGTGCGAASACTTGGAAAATGCATCTACTTCAAGGATGTGCAAAACTAAAGGATGTCGTTGCAGCAGCACACTATCGCGTGTAAAATATATACACTGAGCAGTTGAAGGATGATATGAGCCAAAATTAGTTCAAATTCCCTATGGTTGCGATATGCATATGTTATATGATTCCAGAAAAAACTACTTCCTTATGCATCTTCCGAAGGCAGATGTGTTCAAATTCAATCGAATGATCTCGCTGTACAAAAAAAAACTTTTTTTAACCCAATTTAACTTTCTGAACAAAACTAATTCTAAGCTGATGAATGATTAGTGATCTTTAGCTCTTAGGGCTCATTTCATGTATTTTATTGGTATCATAGTAATAATTTTTACTCTATATCTATATAAATAAAATCTTTTTTCCAGTGTATCGTTGCATTTGCTATTTGCTCTTCGAAAATTTTCAGCTTGCTTGACAATTTGCAAATAAAAATGTYCGACTTAGATGAAGCTGAACGCTCGTAAATCTTTATCATCGCTTCGAGCGTTGTAACGCTGTCATTTCGAGAATTTATTTCTCTCAATCTAAAACAATATTTTTAATAAGGCGGCAAATATAGCGAGTATGATGTCATGTTGCCGGAATTAGAAGCATTACAACGAGTTTAATTTCCAAAAAAAGCGAGCAATGAAGCAGGCATATATCTGTTTACTTAAAATAAATATATGCCTTTTTATTTAAATCTTTAAATATTAATATGTGGAAGTCAGAATTATGCAGCAGTTAACTTTGAAAAGCTTTTGTTCGTATGACTTGGTTGGTTCCAGCCGAAGCTTTTAGCAAATGTAGTATGAATGAATCGTTGAAATGATTTTGTTGCCTTAGGAGGATCTTTTGGATGTGATAATAAAGATATGTGTTCAAATACTTTTAAATGTCGTTTTTGGTTTCCCARTCCGGGTCAAATTTGATCAGACAGTAAAGTAGTATAAAGCTGCATAACCAAATGATTTTAATTTTCGCTCAAAGCTTACGTTCAGTAACAAAAATTTAATTTATTATAGTCTCGACTGGCCTAAGCCAAAATATCACTAACCATTAATATCCAATAGTACTTGAAGATAATTTAGGGCTATGCTGAAAAAATTCTTATACTTATGTAACACTAGTAAAATTTATGTCATATTAACCTAATATGAAGATTTAATTATTATTAAAGTTTAATGACAGGCTTAATGTTTTTGATCACATATATATGCACTTAACAAAASTAAATAAATTTACATAAAAAATATAAATAAATAACAAAATAAAATTGTGCATTGCACAACCCACACAGACTTCAGCCCTGAGTAAATATTTKGATGGCCCTTTTAAGCCTGCTGTGATTTTTATCTGATGGGCCATTTGCGGGCGCTTTTTAATTGATGCAGTGCAAACACTACGCCGGCTTTAGTTACATCAAACAAACAACAATTTTCAACATTTTATAGAATTGCGCTTTTGGCGATATTCATTCTTTTCGAATGCTTGTGTGTGTACATTTGTATGAATGTATGCATTTTATTTTTTTTACTATTCAACTTTATTTCGTTAAACTGAGTGCCGGCATTTTAGCAGCAATTTCTACATAAAATATTTATCTCTACAAATGACCAAAGGCTTTTGGAAAATCTGTTCCGGCTCTGCAGTTTTTGTCTGACGGCATTTTATTTACTTATGGGTGTGCATGAATGCTTACTGTTATATATATGACATATTTACACATTTACTATTTACACACTATTACGTAAACTATCAATGCTGAAGGGCTTAACAATTTTGCAATGGAATGTCAGTAATTCTATTTATTGTGAGSCTATTTTGTACTTTCCAATATTGCCCCACTTCAATGCTCGTTTTTTATTCATCAACGCACTTTTATTGATCTCTCTATGATTTATTCTCGTCAAATTGTTGATTCTGACCTTTTGAAGGAAAATACATATGAAAGCAAATATGGTAATTACCTCAACTTTTCACTCACCAAGTGCACTCGTGGCCATGCACACCTTACCACTATACTTTCTGACATTTTTTTCGGACTTCGTTCGTGATTTTTTTCAATTTTTTTTTTATGTTTTTTGTAAGCATAAGTAAACTAAATTATTTTATCTAATTATGAATACAGTTTTTAATWTATTACCTTTAATGAATAAAACACAAATTAGCTTTTCTGTGCTAATACAAAAGCGGCCGATTTTAGTGTTTTTAAAATCAGACACCTACTAAACTTCGCGTTTCAATTAAAAAGTTAAATAAAATAAAATATTGCTTTCAAGTATAGTGTAAATGAAATTAAATTTAAAAAAATATATATAATTTTGTCATCGTATGTGAGTATCTCACATTTCGACCTCATTTTGTAAAGCTCACTATCTTGCAGWTGATTTATCTATAGCTGAACGTGTTTTGTTTTTAATTCTTAATATTCTTGATTAAATTGTGTCTAAATAAAAAATTTCTTTACCGCAAAAAGTACCGCTATAAAGTGTAGGTGAGGTTTGCGTGGCCACAAGTGCATTTCAAAATTTATGCACCCAAATTATGCAACATTAAAGTACAGCGTCAGGAGGCCAGCTTTTGACACATACACATACGTGCCATGAGTACCACATATGCAATGCACGTAATTACTCCATAAGTCACATATACCGAAATATGCTTTTGTAAATGGCCACATTCATCATACGCCCTGTGGTCCTCACATGCAGTATAATTTATCGCAGAAAAGGGGCTAATATTTTACAATCAAGAAAAAATTTAAACACATAACAGCGATAAAAGAGCAATTAAATTAAAAATAAATTTAATTTATTAAAATTAACAATTACTCCATTTCCGGAGATACTATGATCTTTTTGAATAAAAAAAATTTCTCTATGAAATGTAAATAAATTATAAAAATAAAATTCTAAAAAATAATTCAAAAATGACCTTCTATAGAACTAAAAGTCAATATAAATGGAAAATTTACGAAAGACACTGACAAATATTCAGAAATATAATTTTTGCCAAASGCATTACTGCAGCTGAGTTAACAACGAATTAACCTACTCAATCGCCTGAACAATTCAAGATAGCGTAACTGCTTTTATAATATTTGAGAATAGTATTGACTTTTATTTAAAACTAAATTAYCAAACCTTGGGGGACTTTAAAATATCAAGTCACGTGTGAAAATTTGTAATGGCATAAGCATCATTTATAAGCTTATTTCGTTGTTAATAAAAATTCAAAAGAAGGGTCGCCTTTTCAAATACTAGTACATTTTAGCACGTGAAAAAGATATAAGCCAATAAGTGCTTCACATAAAGGTGTTATAAAGTGMTTCTATGCATATACATAAAAACCACATGCACATAAAAATACTTAAACATATTTGTTAATTATAAGATAGGGAGCTATAAAAGCTCCTACAAAAGATGCAAAGGCACATAACAACATGTTACACAATAAAAAACAAGCGTTGAGAAATAACAAGCACAATAAAGATAATCGCAATCTAAAACGTTTATGGGAGCCTSGCGCGCTAAATCAGCCCACTGAGCACTCCCTGTACAACAGCACGCTAGCTACCACATGCATTTCCCAAGCTCCGGCGCCTAAATTCACACATATAACAATGCCATACATACAGCAGATAGAGTCTTCTGTTTCACACGCTTCCGCAATAAACATAAATTCCACAAAGAAMCGTTGGATAAGCAAAACAAAACACTTAGCAAGTCGAAATAAAATACCACAATGAAGTAATCTTTACTTATTTTCACAGTGAAAATAAAAACAAAAAGTAGCTCKCAAAACCACAAATATCCCGGAGTACGTGGTCGCCACGCGTCTTTTATATGGCTGGRTAAGGCGTACACGTCCCGTTGATCAGCKACGCTAGGCCKGTAGACAATAACAATGAACGCCTGTTTGCTCCCCTGCAGGAAAATGAGGACTGCTCGTGAAGAAGTGGTGTACTACTGCGGGMAAAAAATAGTAGGATTCAACAACTGTTTCGAGAATTGGAAAAAACATTGCCACAAATATATTGGGGGGATGATTTTGAAGAATAAGTTAAAAACTCTAAAATTATGAATAAAATCTTACTATTTTTTGCTCACAGCAGTTTGTAACTTCATAAAATTCATAGCCAGTTTAGGGGCTATTTTGCAGAGCTGAAAATCTATGTCCCTTCTTTGGTTTCTCTTCTTCAAATGAATTAAGTTCGGCGGTTGGTTTTGGGCTTGCCTGCCGGGAGCATACTTAAACTCTTAGCAGCCAACAGTTTTCCCGAACCTGTGTTGGCAGTGGATGGGAGGTCATGCTGTGAAGTTTTCCTCTTCTCAGGCATTTAAATATTTACGGCGTGGGCACATACCATTGTTTGTATATATTTACGATTATTACATGTATTCATAATTTAAYAGACGTGACCAAAATAAGTTGCACACGTGGCCACAATTCACAGTTTCGAATGGCCATTTTGGTTATGAAAAGTGGCTCAGCGGATAGCAAGGTGAAAGCTTGTTATTAAATGTAATTATTATTTAGAAACACTGTTGCGAAAACTGAAATTCTGATAACGCAGAATTCAACAAGTATACAAGAAAAAGCTTTCATAGTTTGATTTTCGTTCAGCAGATATTAACACATTTATTTTGAAGTTTTTTTCGTTTTCGACATTTCCATTTTTTCAGATGCTTTTTCGGCCACACGAGGCACTATTTTTAAATTTTAAATATACGAGTATTGCTACACTAAGTTAAGGTTTATTTCTAATGCTCGAGATTTACCCCATTCGTCGAACATTCCCCACTTATCCTTAAAATCTAAGTATGCCTATCATTCCTCCGTGTACAATGGCGATGGTTTTTTATATTTTCGGCAACGTTCCAACATCAACCGCTCTTCTCGTGACTCACTGCGTTTTCGCTGGAAATCATTCATATATGTGCTCATATCACGAACYGACGCCTCGTGCGCACGTTCGCAGTTTAGCCGATGTATAATGCCAGTCTTCGTTGGCTGATTGTAGTTTCTCAACATTTCTTCAGTTTTTTCAAGCAATTTTTGCCCACTGGCGGCCTCGGCGCGCGCTTTAGCCGGTCGTATATTGTACATGACGTCCGATGTTGTTGTCATGTTCTTCAAAAACTCTTCCGAATCTTTGGTTCTGAAGTGGGTGTCCATGCTGTTGAGCCTATTGACAAAGGCTTGTCTTTTGTATTCGTGATAGTTCCATTTGTCCGCCGCTGGCTGCTGGTAAGTCTCAACATAGAGACTGTGCTCTGCGGGGCAATTGGAGCTTCCATAGATACCCGGTACGATGGCTTTCTTGTCCACCATGCGATCGCAACGCTCCTCAAACCAGTTTCCGACCAACACATTCGGATTAAAGTATTTCTGYGTCAGATGATCGAAAGCAAAAAGCGCCATTGTGGTTGTGTGTTTAGTCACTTTGAACTAAGCTACATGCATGCGTGCAGCCAAGGTCAAGGATCGCAATTTTTACCGTTGCCGAAGTAATTTGCGCTAATAACTACCCCGCTGATCTAAATGATTTTTATTCTAAGGTTTTTGTATCTTTTTCTATAAAACTACTACTGAGAAAGCGAAAATTTTCACTTAAAATATTTTTTTTTTTCGAAATAACATAAATCGAAAAATTACTGTGATAGAAATTTTTTGTCAGCTTCCAGCTGAGTTTAAAATGCTTTTCGAAGCAGTCCGAAGGTAAAAAATGTGCAATTTACACATTGCCGTTTGCCAGAATTTGCTCTTTTGTGCGCTTGAAAAAGAATTTATTTTTTCTTAGAAWTCCTTTTCACTGGTGCATGAATAGATGAATGGAGCAATGCATAGCACTTGGCTGCTCATCTCAATCCTTTGCTGCATCGCTTCGCTATTGAATTGGCAATTGAATCTGCCAATATATTACGCTCCAGTTTCTTCGATTGAATTCACAAACATACACATATTTGTTTGGTTATTTTCTGATATATTGGTGCATAGCTGCATGAAATTGTGTAACCGATTTTGTGAAAGCTCTCAGAAATGTATAAAGTGTTATACTCAATATATTTTCTCTATTGATCTGYTCATCTTTATTCTTCACACATGGGAATTTTTATGTACCTTGAATATTTATTTGTTGCCTTTCTATTTAAAAAAAAGAAGCAAATAAGCTCTAAGGCAGCCCGTTTGATGGAAGGTGTATATAGATATGGAAATTGTCTTCACAGCATAAAGTTGCTCTTCACAGAGTTTTCTTGAATTTAAGAAATTAATTAAAGATGTTATAAATACTTAWACCGCAAACTTCGCTCAGTCTTTCGATCATTACATATTCACCTATTGAAGTCAAAAAAATTTGTTTGGTAAATTYTAATAGTCGACATGTGTTGCCCATATTCCCTTAATGATCTGGAAAGACTTTGCAAGTGCAACGCTAAAGAAGATGTTAGATCCACTAGGAGATCAAAACATTATTTTAATAACTTTAAAGAGGCTCTAAGAGACTCTAGTGATCCCAAAGTCGAGCAACTGTCGGTATATTCCTTGTTGTAAGCCCTCTTCTTGTCGAAACAAAAAGGCTTTCCTTTAATTTCAGTGATCTCCACTTAGAAGACACTTCAGTGGAGATTTTGGTATTTATCTTTGCAGAGGAAACCCCTCAGTTGTTTARCTTGAGGCCATCTGTATAGATGATTATCTTTGCGACATTGTCTACCTSCTTCCTTTGCTACTCATCTCTGGAAGAGAAGGCAATATTGGACATCTTCAAAAACATATTTCAAACAAAAATGCTTTATAATTTGAAAGCATCCCACCTTTAAGCGATCAATTCGCTTTTAAAACTATGTGAGTTAACATTTTTGGACTATTAAATGAAAGATTGATCACATAACTTCGAGTAAATAGAAAACTCACCTATCGACTGAAATAAATTATATACTTAGACAATAGATTTTTAATTACCGATATGATTTCTAGCAATAGTTGCTATTTTTCCAGTTAAAAAAAAAACGGAAAATATATTTTGTTTTATGTTTGTTATAGCTGCAGCATGATTGAAAGCAACGTGAATTAAACAGAATAAAAAAACTAAAAAAAAAATATTTTTATATTTTATTTATAAAACACATTCGTATGCTTGTTGGCATCCCTYCAAACACATCGATGCATTCACGTAACCTTTAATTTGCGAACATATTTCCATTGCGAAGCATTCTTGCGAACAGCACTTACCATTCTTTGACATTCAGATATACTTTTATTTTTTTATTTTTTATTTCWAAACTTTATAGAATTTCCAYTCAATCGCAGTGCTTTCAACGCTTTAGAAAATAGAGCATGTCACCAATATTTAATTCATATTCACCGCCGCAAGCCAACAGCAATTGAAATTTTTTATTCATTTGCATATTGGAAATTCAAAGCGAAGGTTAGGCAAGCAAAGTGTTTGTTTTTATTTCTAAAAAAAATATGCAAATAACCACAAATACACGTGTATGAAATTTCTGTGTGTACATACCTTCATATACAAATGGTCTTCATCAGCTTTGGCCGCAATTGAATTGAGAAACTTAGTGTGTAAATATTCTCTAAAAGGCATTTGTATACACAGTTGGAGCGTGGAATATTTCAAAGCGAAATATTTTTAAATAAATATTTTATTTCTATAAAAATGTTATTATTATATATTCTTTTTTTTTAACGAGTGTGTATCAGCTTCTCCATTTATTTAACTCAAATTCCATTGCCGTCCATTAATATCGTTAGGATATTTGGTAGTTTTAGCAAATATAAGCAATTTTGTTGTCATTTTTATTTTTAAATATAATTTTTTATTATTTCCTGTTATATTCAATAGTTCTTTGAAATATGGTAACAGCTTCCTAGCTTTGTATTGAATATAAAAAAATCAGGTATATTTTATACTCGCMGCGCGGTCAGTAAAAATCATTAAGAACACCAATTTCGATTTTTTACACTTTGCACACTTCCTTTTCACACAAATAAACTGCACATTTTTCGCAACTGTCGATATCGAACCACTATAGCACAAAGCTGCTATACAAACCGGCCGAAAATATAAAACTTTTTTATTTGAGGAACTACCTTCACTAAATTCAGCATAGATTACTTTCTAAGTCTTCGCTGCAACTGATTTGCGAACTGCCACACAAACTGACCGATCAAAATCAAGACAAAGATCTTTTAATACCCTTTTATGCCGTAACAACTAGCTGTGAAGAGTGCTATAAATCCATYTCGGGGTTCCCTACCTTTTTAAAGAAATAACCACATAAATTCGAAACTTCGAACTTTCTTTGGCATTTATTTTTTGAAGATTGGTAACTGACGAATGACAAGCGTAATGTTTTGCTCCAAGGTCTGAATCGAAGCGAGACTTGAAAACAAATGTCAACGAGATCACGAGCTTCAATTTCAGTTGGTTATCAGTCGGTTAGCATGGCGCAATATCGGTCGCCAAGATGGCTACGTTCGCAGCAACATCATTTTAGAAGAAAGAAAGGACCGTTGATTTCACCAGGACACAAACCACACCACACACACTTTTTTTTGATGGAGTGGCAGCTTTTGAATCTCTTCAGTTTGCTCTTCGTCCCAAATGCATCAACTTTTCTTTTTTACATACCCAATGTGAAATAAATCAGAAATTGACCTCATGACTGAACAAAATTTACCTCGACAATGTTGGATCTTTTAGGAAGTTTTCAAGAGCTCATAGAGCGAAGCTTCAGTTTTTAGACAACCTATATTTTCTACACTTACAATTTTAGATCTTTACGTAAAGTTCGCTAAGTCGTTCCGCACGTCAGTCCGAGTTGCTGCGATTGGCGCCAATCGTCTCCCACGGACTTCGTGTATACTCTACATCTACGACTGCTGTATTTTCTTCACTGAATATTAACCAATAATGAATTCTGGGTCTCAAGATGGGTGATGGCGTTGCGAATATTACGCTCAGTAGATCGATTATGTTGACCATAAGCTCAGCGAAGCGCGTGAGACACATTCTTTACAGAACGGAATTTTTCGTAACAAAGTTGAACGATTTGTAAACGTTATTCAGGCATAAGTCTTTCCATGATCAAATACCTTTACTGAACAAAAATAACATGACAACTTAACTGACGCGTGATCTGTCAAAAAAAGGCTATTGAAATAAGTATCACTAATGTTTTTCTCGTTTTTTCATTTTTTTATTTTTATTGCGTTCCATAATAATATTTAGAATTTATATATTTTTATGTTTCCTTTTATGGTACATTGAATAAAAAATTAGTAAGTTCTGGCCCGAAATATTTCATTCTCATGCTATTCAAAAACTAAAAAAAAAAATCATCAACAACTCTAGTAAAATTATTTTTCAATATAAAATATTGGATTACAAATTAATTGCCTTAATTACTCGCAATTTAGTAACGTGAAATCTCTGTTTTGGAATATGCACCAAAACTACTCGCAATCAAAACACCATAAGCCGCTGAAGCTCCAACCAATGCTTTTAGTGCTTTAATGTTATGATGTGCCGAGAGAAAGGGGCTATCAGTGCATTTCAGTTTGAAACTTTCCAATGCTTTGGCAACGCAAAATGGCTACTAGAAAGGCAAGCGAAGCCACCGTTATCAGGCAATGGGCCAACGAGCCAATGGCGAATAGTGTGATTGAAGCCATGCAACGCGACTTTTTTCTGCTAAAAGTGCATTACAGATGCGTGTGATTACTGTCCGTTAGTGTGCTCGCATGCCGGTATATGCTGGTATATACATAAGTTGACGCTAATGCCAGTTTGATGCCTTTTAATGTAATTGTTGCCAACACTAATGGAATCGTAACGCTCAATGCGCGCACAGATGGGCAACAACAATAACAATGCCACTTACGTGTATCGAAAAGTGCATGCAACAGCTATGGTGCTGCTGGAAAATTGGTTTACTTGAAATTTACTTGTATGACTTTTAAACTTTTTACTTCACACATCAACATTAAGCGAGCTTTTATTTTTTTAATTATCAAAAATTTCTTTAATCACAATGTAAAGTGATTAAACCCCCAAAAAATCGAATATGTCCAGTTTAAAGTTTATGGGATTTGTATATATGTATACCAATTCGAAAGTTAATTAGACATTTTCATATTCGCTTACATAATATTTATCAAATATTTGTAAACATTTGAACTCGATCAATACTTTTCCTGCCGGGTCACACTACATCTAACTATATGGGAATGCGTGATTGCCAAGCACGCAAGTAAAACTTGCAATTCGCGAAATGTGTGGCTATTATGCTAGTGCAGCAGCTGTCAACTGTGGCGCTAAAGCACATGCCACTTAAGGCCTACATCCGTATAGGCATTACTGTTATCGTACACTGGCTCTAGCCCACCAGCAATGAGTGGATTGC